CTATTTGTCTCGTATTCTCCTCTTCTTCCAGTAACAAGGTCAGAGGCAAATGATCCGAGTCCACTCTGTTCCCTATTCTAAATTCCAGCACTTGTTCTTGCGCACTATTGTTTACAATTGCATAGTTGATTACCGAGCACCCTCTCACACCCACATACGTATATTTCCCATCCCAATCCCCCTCTGTACATCCATTCAAAAAATACCATCCTTTATCATTTATGATATTCACAAAACTTTTACCGCCATCTTCTATGATTTTATCTTTACTTTCCTTTTTAAAGTCATCCTCCCTACACCTTCCTACATTTCCTATTTTAATATTAAAATCGCCTCCTATAATAATAGCTGCGTTCAGCCGATACTCCGCTAGCCTAGCAATCGTGAGCAGTCGTTCGTTTCCTCTCCTTTTAATCCATTGGGTCAAAGGAGAGGAAACGAGCGACTGCTCACGATTGCTAGGCTAGCGGAGTTTCGGCTGAACGCACCCAATGTAGCGACTACGGACATGCTCCGCGACCACATGCGCATGTCCCGTGGTCACGTGATTGTACTTGAGCGCTCAACCTCGGCTGCGGTCCACTTGACGCTACAAATGCTTCGAAGCATTCCTCTTCTCTTTTCTTTCAATGAAGAAAGAAGGAGAAGAAAAACGCTCCAAAGAATTTGTAGCGTCAAGTGGACCGCAGCCCTCAATGACATATTGGCCGCGTTCAGCAGATACAACTGTTGAGTTCGTCTTATCAACACTATGCGTTGATTGGTTGGTTCTAAAAGTAAGAGCCAATCACGTTCGACTGCTACTCAGCGGCTTGGTCTGCTGAACGCGACCATTATTATTGTTCTGTGCAATCCCAAAATATTTATAATGCCATATTCAGTAGAGCAATTTTATATAGTAATCCGTGGCTAGTGGTTCAGGATGTTGTTGGCGATCCAAAAACATGGCCCAAATTCATCCGAAAAATGTTTTGGGATAAAAATCTAAAAGATCACAATATAGAATGATCCTTGTCAATTTTTCACATCTAAATGCAGTATCCGAAGATTTGTTGCACGATATATTAACTTTTACGTTAAAGCAGGGCATACACACGTGTGTATGTGCCCTAGCTGCTTTAACGAAAATCACAACTTCTATAAAGCAGGACATACACACGTGTGTGTGTGCCCTGCTTTAAGGAAAATCACAACTTCTATAAAGCAAGGCATACACACGTGTGTGTGCCCTGCTTTAAGGAAAGTCACAACTTCTATAAAGGCTGCGTTCGGGGAGCGCGCTATTAGCGCTATTTGCTTGTTCTATCCTTGTTCTACACTTGATGAGCGATAAAGATAGATAATGCAATAGCGCTAATAGCGCGCTCCCCGAACGCAGCCAAAGTGATACGATCATAGCATTATTATAGCATTGAATGCTATGATTGTAGCATTAAATGCTATGGACATAGTAATTTTACACAAGACTATAGCATTTAAACTTGGGCGTCTTGATGGTCCGCAGTTGGTGCGGCAGCATAGTAAAATTTAACATAAAATTTTCTCCGTGATCGTTTCTCCATAAAATAAAAAATATGTAATCTTTTAGAATAAAATAAAGAATAAAATAGCTCGAAGTATTCGAACCTTCCCACTATATCATATTTCTGCGTATCGTATTATCATATATATAGATGTGTATATATATATATACGTCCACTTTCTCAGAGGGCAGATTAGGACAAGCGTCTCCCGAAGTGAAATGGCCGCTCTCAGGTTTCTCTCTGTTTCTAGTTTCTACTGAGAAAACTGTGCAACGCGCCGCTAGTACACTCTGAGTGCAATTTTATTGTTTTAATATATAAAAATTAGTTTACATTTTTTTCAGTGTTTAATGTTCTACTTTGTTTAATTTGACAAATTTTTATCAGTAAAACTTTAAACACTGAAAATATGTGGACTGGTTTTCACATTGGAACAATAAAAGCGCACTCAGTGCGCAACATAGTGTTTTGCACTAGTTTTCATGAATCTATTCCAATTTGACAATAATTTATATTATATAGTTATATAATTTATACACAGTTTGTTAAGTCAAAATCAATTTAAAAAGTGACCGAAATTAAAAACAATGAATAAGTTTATCTTTTATAAAGTATAAGTAATACTTAGGAAACAATACTTAGAAATTAATAAAAGAATTTATATACAATTTGTTAAGTCAAAATCAATTGAAAAAGTGACCGAGATATTAAAAACAATGGATAAGCTTATTTTTTATTAAGTATAAGTACTAGGAATTAATGAAAGAAAAGCTGTATGTGTTATAATATCAATATATATTTTTTAATTATTAAACGTCAACACAAATGCATTCCATCTTATCCAATTACAAAATAGAATTAAGATTTAATAACAAAATCAATACAAAATTTGTTCTTATTGGCAGGTGCTTATAAAAACACCCTTGTTTCAAACATTTATCTTATAACACCTTGATCTAGCTTAGACTAGTGTTAAAATAAACAAAATAGAATCTTGATAAATTACTTACATTACTGAGATGCCATTAAAATAATAGATTTGTTCGTATTACTTAAATTCTCAAAAATTACTGCACTTAAAACGAAATATATAGATATTAAGCGTGAGAGAAAGAAAAAACGAAGATTGTAAGCAAAAAGTACAGACAACACGAATAGACCTCATACAATTTTGATATTAAAATAATTCGCCATATGTTGCTATGCATATATGATATTGGTAAAAATTATTTTAGGTCGAATTACATAAAACTGGAATATACCGTCCATTCCCCATTCGCAATAGGTAATAAACTATTGAGTTGCAAAAATCCATAGCATAATATGGATTTTGGGATCAGTCATTGGTCAATTAGTATTAAATTTGAGACAAGATATTGTTCAGAGCAGGATCAGTAGGTCGCAATTCCTTGATTATTTCTTTCGCTCTTTGACGAGAATCCACAATTGCATTAATATATGTGTGTTTTCCATCGGCGGCCATTACCAACAACCCCCAACTGATACAACTTTCAATTTTTACCGACTCTGTTTCAGCATTTGAATGATATATTTGAACCTTAAGACCTCTGAGCTGCGTCTGCAAATTGCTCCTTGCATCTGTTTGATGCAATATGTCGTCGGTCTTAACTGCAATGGCTAAAAGTATGGCCAGTGGAGCATCTTCAGATTTTGGAATAGCAGAAGCGATCATAGGAGAATAAACTGCTCTGGGTAGATCAATGTTAGGAAATAGAATTGTTGGATCCACAATAGATTTACCATAGCCTTTATGGAAAAGTCCCACTGTCACTATAGGGAATGAAGCTGCAATTCTGCGGATGGTTACAACTTTGTTATCTAAAGATGTGCCTGGTCTTCTTTTTGCAGTATTTATGTTGTACTTTGTTTTAAGAATTTTCATGCATTGGGTGATGCTCTTTTTGCTAATATTTTTAAATGTCTCTCCTCTGGTGAGAAACGTTAGGCAGATGAACTCTATATCTGAAGTGAAAGACATATTGCTGTTGAATTCGAAAGATTCGGTTTTACCATTTACTTTTATCTCTTCTGAGACCACGTCAATAGCTTCTGGATGTGCTCTGATGTGTTCGTTCATTCTCTCATGTGATTTTAAAAGCAATGTGATCATTACTTTTGGATCAAAGCCTTGATACTTTACAATTTCTTGTAAAGCCTTTAAAAAGGGCATTTCCTCCAACATACAGTTATAAACTTTCATCTGTATATCTTCAATATCAGCTGGAGACATGTTCTTCACACTGTCAGCCAACGATCTATCTCTTCCATGGGCCATCCTCTTCTTTAAGGTATTACACTTGGTTGCAATGTAAGTGATAAAGCCACAATGTGCAGAAATCGAAGTGTCGTTTCAACCAAGCTGTCTTTCTAAAAAAGTAATTTTATTATTTTAGTAGTGCAGGACACATATTGTGGAATTTTTTGGAATGGGTCGATTTCGGCTGAAATTGTTCAGCTATTTCCTAAATTTCTATTGTGTTTCTAAGGAAAACGGAATAATTCCAATCGAAATCCATTCCGAAAGCTCCATAATGTGTTATGCTCTGACCTCTATTTTTTCATGCGTCGGTGCGTCGCTGTGTTTGCTTGAAACGGAAGTTTTTGTGTTCCGAATTCCAATAGCAGGCTATATCACTTCTGTATGTATCGTAATTATAGAACCTATAGAAGTTAACCTTTTCTCGACCGGTTAGTGGAAGACAGTGGAAGATAGATTTGAGAGTATTGTTTTTCCCCTCGCGCGAGGGAAACCCCCTTCAAAAAAAAGAAGGCCGGTTAGTGACAGCGTGTCAACGACGTATTGGCTCCTACACACAAGACGCGAAAACGTTTTTTACGCCTGCGACTCATTGTAGATGGCCCTTTAGACGCCTTTAGTGCCCATCTACAATAGGTGTTTTAAGCCCTAAAGCCCGGTGTCCACGATGCAAGAACTGTGTCCAAGTTTCGATTTAAGCCAATCAACTTGCAGCTCTTACAGAAAAGTAGCAGTTTCATTAGGATTCGGGCCAATAGGATGTTTATGGCCTATTCAGATCCTGTGATAATGGCCGACCAGGCCAATGAGGCGCGTATCCGTCGTCGTTCATGTTGGACAATGGCTGCGTTCGGGGAGACGCTATTAGCGCTGACAACGTCATTGGGCGCGTTCAGCAGACACAACTGTTGAGTTCGTCTTATCAACACTTTGCGTTGATTGGTTGGTTCTAAAAGTAAAGACCAATCATGTTCGACTGCTACTGAGCGGCTTGGTCTGCTGAACGCGACCATTCTGTCTCTGTTACTTACTGAAAGTTGAACAAGGACAGAGCACGCTCATAGCGCTAAAAGCGCGCTCCCCAAACCCAGCCAATATGGTGCGTTCACGTTTTTACATTTTTTTTTTTTCGTATATTCTACAGGGTTCAGAGATTTCTTGTGTCAATAAACGACATATAATACGATATTATTAAAATATTAGAATACAGAATAAGAAACATAGGGGAATGGCTCGAAGCAAATAAACCTTACCTAATATATCTTACATATCATGATTATCTCGATATTTTTAGATTCGGCGTTAGCTATATTTCGATAATCCTTCATATTCCGCCAGGTTTTATAAACATATTTTTACAAAGTTACTCAGAGATTGTTGAAATGTAATCATCAATCTTCTATCTAAAATATCTGCTAGTAATTTATATCTAATGATTTTTACTGCTGCATTTTTGTTCTCTACATTTGCAATTCTTTTTTTAAAAACAACATCCTTAATTAAATTTATTAAAAACATATAGCACCTATATTCTTTATACGTTTCTGTTCATTTTGTTCACTTATTTTTATATTCTGCACATCGAACACAATGACGCGGTGAATACATCTATAAAAAAATGCATATTTAATACTTTTAGTATAAATACTTTTTAATATAAATTTCATTGTCTTCAATCAATTAACAATCACCTACAATTTTCTTTTTCTGTTTAATTACATGCAAAAGTTTCATACATAACATAACAATCTTCAACTTGATGAGAAAAAAAAACTTTTGAAAACACTTATAAAAGAGGAAGAGAACCTAGTTTTACAATCTTTTAATTTACATAAAAAATCTTTTGATTGATTAACGATTTCGATCAGTAAATGCTATATAAGTTCGAAGGGATATGGAAGATTACATTGCCTTCTAAAATAACATTACATCATTATACACTGTTATTGCATTATATAATTGTTAACTTTTTCACAATTTCTCCTCTTTTCTAGTCACTTTCTCTGTACAAAAGCATAAAATCTACATCGGCAGCGTAATGAAAACATCTTGGGATGATCGACGACCGATCATGTATATACCCAAACTAGTATTTCGAATGGATTATATATTCCATTTGTACAAGTTAGAGATATAAGTTACAAAATTGTACAAATAATAATATAACCTTGCGCATAATTTGCAATCGCCAATTAATGTGTAAAATTTTTGCATTATGAGATAGAAAAATCTTCTCAATCCTCAATATTTAATTATTTCACGAGATTACGCGCAATAATCATAAATTGTAATCGTACATTAATAATTTATGACCGTGCGTTAACGCGCGAAATTTCTGCTCCATGCAAATTTCACGCATATGCGCAACGCGTATATTATGAAGCTAATCTTCAATAATAAATATATTTTGAGGTACTTGAAAGAGAAATCTCTCTCGGCACGTGTGACATAGGCCGCAAAGTAGCATTAACTTAGTTTATACAATATTTCATTAGGCACGTTACACATACTTTCAAATTCCGAACGGAGTGACGTGACGCAAATGCGAAATGCATTTTATGCGGAAATACATTTTATATGATTTGTTACATGTCGAATATGCGATATTTTCACACGCTGAATTCGTTTTACGCGGCTGTAAGGTCAAAAGTAGTGTATACATTTTCTTTTATATAATTATATGACCACTATTTCATTTCTATCTTCAAATAGAATACCCTTCGCTGATTACATAGTCAACGAGGTTCAACATGGTGAAGCGTACCAAAATCATCCCCAACTTTGATACGTTTCACATAAATATAAAAGAAAATTTATACACAAAATGTTCAAAATCTTCCGCGTTTACCTTTTCTTTGAAAATTTATATCTTCAACGAAAATAATTTTTCTTCAATGAAAGATAAAGGAATCAGAAACGCTTTTATATACGAATATCTCTCTCTATCTCTATCTTTTTCTCTATATACAATATATACATGTCGCTTATCTTCTACAATTGATCATTCATTTCTTGCATACATTCATTCACATTTTCTTTCTCTCTCCTTCTTATACTTATAAACTTTAATCATCAGTCTTCAGGCTGCAGTCAACAATTCTAGTGTCACTAAGGGCTTATTTACAGGAGTAGGAAGTTGTTTGTTTAACTAGAAGAAGAGTCAGTTTCTCATAATCACGTCAAGCACTACACGATCTTGATACTGATGTTATCAACATGTAGTTTCGATAGTGTCTTTTTAACGCGAAGAGCAGTTAAGCGAACTGGTGGATTCGGATGCCAACATTCCGACATCATTTTGCTTAACGCATATAGGACCTGCGAGGAAAAGAGATTCGTTATTCGATTTATAAAGATGGAATAGTTAAATTAGAAATTTACTTTTCTTAGAAAAGTGTTTTTCTTACCGAATCGTTATCCCATCTCGTTGGAATAACTGGACGCAATCGTTTCACGCAGACTACCAAGCGCATGTCTTCGAAGCCCGGGTCGTTTGGTACGACATCGTGATAAGGCAAGGCGTAAGGCTCCACCATAGAATTCTTACCACCTGTCACGCACCTTCTGCACGCTTCCCAAAACACGAGACCGATGGAATACATATCTGCCATTTTGAACGCGTCAAAGGAGGACGTGTTCAGGGTCTCGTCTAACACTTCCGGTGCCATGTAACGACGTGTACCCACTCGAGTATTTGGCGCGATGTCAATCTCTCCGCTCTCGCTGTAAAAAGATAAATTTCTCACTCTCAATTTACATTCTAAGAGGAATACTAATGGCGAAAGATGTATCTCTAGACTTTAAGCATTAAATGCTTACGTACCTGATGTAGCGAACGGCCAACCCAAAGTCAGCTATGGCACATTCCCCATTTCTCTTAACTAAAATATTTCTGCTCTTAATATCTCTGTGAGCTATTGCGGGTTTCCCTTGTGTACCGAAGATCTCTGTGTGTAGGTGCGCGATACCAGACGCGATCGACGAACAGATCGCTAGTAAGGCTTGATGATCTAGTACAGTTGTTTGCAGGTAATCGTGCAATGAACCTCTCTCGTGATAATCCGTGATCAACAACATCTGAGTCCAAGAGCCAGTTCCTTTGATATCGGCGGCAATGAAGCCCAGGATATTATCATGTCTCATGAGGACGGTTTGATAGATCTCCGTTTCTCTGAACCAAGACGCCTCCTCTAACGTGAAGAAAACCTTCACCGCCACTTTTTCACCGCCTCGCCATCTAGCAAGCCATACCTCGCCGTAACGTCCCTTTCCCACGCACTGCGACATGGCTAATTGTTTCGCGATCGTCTGTTGTACTAAAAGCGGCAATCCTGAGCCCGATCCACTGCTCTGATCTATGAAATCCCTGAGGGTTCCTTGTGACGGCACCAGGCACGGATCTCGCTCTTTCTTCCGGCATTTGTGATACAAGATTCCTATCGCTATCGAGACGATGACGAAAACCGCTGATAGCGCTACTGCCAAGATGATTAGCGGCGCTCCCGATCCGATGACCATCGGATTGGTATCCGCGGTAGGACGGGATTTGTAAGTTATTTCGGGAAATTGATCTTTGTTGCACAGAGATGTACTGTTACAGCACGTTATGCTCTTCTCTCGTAAATGAGGAACTTGATTTCCCTTGCACTGCATGAAGCCTCCCTCGGCGGGCGGCAAGCAACCGAACGACCATTCGGGGACGAATTCTCCCAACTCGGGCTCCCACACCTCTTCCACAGCGCTGAAACACTGGCCTCCAGCTCGTAATTCGCAGGTCCCATTTTGCCTGTCGTCCGGGCAATGTCCGTCGCAGTAGCAAATAATGCCCAACGCTGCAAGAGGTACGATATTATTAGACACCGTGATGTGAATGAAATAATATAGCATACATAGAAGAAATACGCAAGACTCTAATATTAATCGTATTCAGTCATTCAAACATTTTATTTTTAGATCACGCATGTGATTCCTCCTGAGATTAATACTTGTTCATAAGCGAGCCAAGAGTGGCAAAGTGCGAGATACGTCGCTATGAAATTGGGTGAACGATGCGTTACGCGAGGTACGGTAAATAACTTAATGATAATCGATACGAAGAGAGGCGAGACTATATATATATAGGCGAGGAGTTGAACGGATTCGAGAGGTTGTTTGACAAGTCATGAGATGTGTCGTGTGGGCGAACGACCGTCGTCGCGTCCCACGGAGAGGCGTGCACCACCACAAAGAGAAAGGAGTGGTAGGTGCGTCCCGACTCGGGAATCGGGGATATCTTTCATAAGCGTTTCCGCTCGCAAGTTGATATAAACCATCGAGGACTGATAGTCTTCGTCGTTCCTAAATTTCGCGCAAGCATAAAAGAGAGCACCATATATCAGCATCATATATTAAAAAATATCACTATGTCGGATCATCAGTAAAAGAAAACAAGATAATAGAATTAGGGGCAGAATCTTGAAACAATGAATTAGATTTTAAAATCAGTAAATTATATGTATATAGAAATGCTGCGTGACAAAGTGTATATATACTGTAG